GTCTCTGTGCTGTGAATCTAGTGACAGCAGCAGCGGTAGCAGCAGCAGCAGCAGCAGCAAGAAGGGAGCGGAAGACATTAAGAGCCCGCGGTGCCCCCCCAAAAATGAGAGAAAATTAATATAAATTCACCCGTAGCGCCAAACCCGCCCCATTTGGTGCAGAAACCTTCCAGAGGGGTGGCACTATCCTGACGGGGTGCCTGGAACCCCGGGGCGGAAAGCTTTTGGGAGGGGGGCTCTCCGGAGTTTAACTGTGGGGCATGCAGCGCCTTTCTCCCTCTCTCTCTCTCTCTTTTTTATTGGACAAAAGTTTTTTTTTCCCCTCGCTGCCCCAGTAGAGAAAAGAAACTGCCTTTTTTTTCGGGTTCCCCTTCTGCTCGGGAGGCTTTCCCCCCCCCCACCTCTCCCTCCTTGTGTGAGTTTTAAGAGAAGACTTTTGAAAGCAAGCAAGAACTGGAGGGTGGGTTGCTTTGGGGAGGCGGGGGGGTCGTTAACTGAAAGCAGGAGGGATCCGGAGAGAGAGAGAGAGAGAGCAGGGATAGCTTGTTGTCAGTATCATAAACAACCAAAATGGAGGGAGAACTGAGGCATATAACAAAATAAAAAAATACCCGAAAAAAATTTCAAAAAATTACCCCGAATCGTATCCGCTCCCCGATTTCTCCCTAAGAGATCACGGTGAACCCCCGCGCCCCCCCCACGGTTCGGCTTTGCACCTCCCCCCAGAGAGCAAGGAGTTAATACAGTATTGATGCCTATTTTTGTTGATGATGACTTGCTTCGGAAAGGCAAAAAGTCCTTTTACAGCTCGGTTCCCGACAATGCGAGAACGTGTAAAATCCCTTTTTCTCCCTTGAATGGTGGCGGGAGGTGGGAATGCACGAGCTCCTCCACTACTGGGGCAAGGAGGAGAGATTGCAAAGCAGATAAGCGCTGCCTTTGCCAAACTTTGTACCTTCCTTTTCGTGCTCTTTGTTTGTTGGGAGGGGGGGCATAGATGGGAGAAGGTGGCGCGCAATGCCATACCTATATGTTGGCTTTCTCTCGATCTCATGAAGATCTGTAATGCAAAAGAGTAAATCTTTCCGGTTTATGGAGTCCTGTACCTTTGCGTTGGCTATGGATGGATCACAGTGTTTGGGTCCACTGTCTATAAAGGGCATTATAGTAGAGTAGCATAGACGTAAAGCAACGTGCCATTTTTAAAATATATATACTGTATATATATACGTAGTGAAGTCTTCTCTGCTGGGAGAGCACCGGTGATGCTGGGCATGTTTATTTCACCTGTTTTGTATTCCGTTAAGAATGCAGCCTGCGATTTTCGCGCTTTATGTGTTAAAAAAAGCCTCGCTTTGCATCCCATTGAAGTTTATGCGAAAGTGCTGCTGATGTTGGTTTCCACGTGGGATAAGGGACAGAGCACGGTATCTTAAAGAGACCGCTCCTCTTTTCTTCTAGCTATCTTCACCTATGCAAAAAGCAAGGTAGTTCTGGATTTGTTGAAGTGTAATGTGATAAATCACAGTTTGAAGGCAATCAGTGACTTACTTACACTGGTGGAATTACACTAGGTCAGTCGAATTGCTCTGGTTATGGGTACACTCCTTTGCATGAGAAATGTGTAAGTACTGTTTGGACCTGATCATTATTTTCTGTTGTAACTCAATAATGTCTGATGACTGAAGTTTAATTAAATTGTGGTGCCTTAGAAATTGCTTTAGGATTTATGTGTGCAGAAATTGAAATGACCTGCTGCAAAGTGTAACATTTTTCTTCCATTTCACAGTTCCCCAAAACAGCTCTTGAAATCTACTTGCCAAAAATAGTGCAGATGTACAGAAATGTTGCTAACAGATATGTTGATAAGCTGTGTTGAAACACTTTCAATTCTATTGTTTCTGTCAAAAAATCCAAATATTTTAAGTCTGTGAATGGCATTCACTTCCATTTAAAGGGTTTAAGTTAGCACAAAGAGTAAACACAACTTCTCTATCTTGTACATTTTAAATATATTAGGTTGTCATTTATACTTACAGTATCCCTAGATTTGGGGGTTTTGAAGGGGGAGAGAAACTGAAATGTGACCAGATTTTACATAGGTGTGTTCTTGACATTTTTAACTGATGCCAAGTTATTTCTTAGGAAAATATTCTAGGGAACTTTTAGAAATCATTGATGAAAGATCTACCTGCATTTTAAAGTTGTAAATGTGCAGGTTCCTTGATGTAAAATTGGATCAGTATAAACTTGGCTTAAGTGAAAAACCTAAGGAGCACTATACTATTTAAAAAAAATCTCTTAACAGCTGTTGTGCTTCTCAGGTACTATTTGGATAATATTAAAATTATTTGCCTCAGTGCTATCTAAATTTAAATCTGTCATCAGTTTTGATTGGAAATTTTTCTCTACAAGATAGAGACTCTCTCTTGAAAGAAATCTCTATTTCCTTTTGTTCCTTATAGATATATAACTGATTTGCTGTCATCTGCAGCAAATGTCTGTAACCTGTTTCTGTGCTGTGCATTTTCACATGAAAGTACTGTAAATCTCATTGGGTTCAAGGGACTTCATTCTACAGTTGTGTTAGGGCTACTTCAGGGCAATACTTGTATAAATTTTCTGGTATGTGTCTTCAGACTTTTGTAAAAAAAAATAAAATCCCAAGTTTCCCAGTGGCTTTCTTTTAAAAATTTAGTCTGAGTTGTTTTCATAGTATGATTAATATCGGTAAATGAGAGGCTAATTTGTTACTATGTAATAATTATATGCAGATTGCTTCTTGTTATTTAATGCTTTTCTATTTTTCCCATATAATGTTGGAATTAAAGAGAAGGTAAAAATCCTAAAAGCAAACAAACTTGGCAAATGGCTGATGTGTACCATATGTTTTAAGAATGTCACTTGAGTAGCTAGCATTTGCAGATCAGTAATTTTTGTCTACTGGTTAAAGACACTGAGTTCACAAGTGCATGTAGGATAATTATTAGGAATTGAACCTGTAGTTTTCAGTTGTTACTGTACATTTGATGGACTTTAGAGTTCATTTAACAAACATGGAGAAACATCATTACAACCATTAACCATAGTGCTAAATATTTGAGCATGAATTGTTGAATTCCCCAGGGGGCTAGATTAAATCAGTTGGTCCTTCATAATATCAAGCTGTTTCATTCATATTGTATGTATGGATACCTGTAAGCGAAACATTTGAATATAATTCTGTTGACTTAGCTGTATCTGTTATACACATATCACAGGACATATCATGTAAAAGTGCATTTTATTATCTTTGTCTTCCTCTTAAGCATAGTCTCTTTTTAAAAAAACTTTTTAACACCTTTAATGTTGCAGCAATACATTTAAAAATAAGGACAATTAGAAATATAATGGTTCTAGAATATATTTGGTTACATGTGCTTAAAATGCTGAGAATCATAATGGCATGAAAATGTCTCTTTGTAACAAGCTAACTTAAAGAGATCAGTAAAATTTTATTGTTACGTACTTGACTATTTTCAAGTTCATTTAGGATTGAAACCTTGTATGAAGTGTTTTTGTGATTAAGCTAAAACAGAAGTTTATAAAATTACATTATTCTGACACAGTTCATTTAATGCAGAAACCTAATACTAACATGTCAACAGTTTTTGAATAGATTCAAATATTATTGAGTGCATCTTATAGACCAAACTACCCTATGATGCTCCTGCCCTTTAGTGAAATCTCATTATTTGCTTCATATATAATGTAATTATATTAAATATTAGTACACTTTCTTTATGGTTAGTGATCATTTCTCTTAGTAATGCCTTACAGCCACAGTCTTACTCTGTTAATACAAATTCAGGAGTAGGCAATACCTTTATAGACCACTAAAAACCATCATATAGTCTACAAGCTTTCGTGGATCAGGACTTATTCAGATTGTATGATGATTTTTTTAGTGGTCTATAAAGATATCACCTATTCCTACATTTGTATTTTGTATTGACTACACTACTCCCTTCTGTTAATACAAATGTTTGGAGCTGCTTCTTATAAAGTGTTTATCTCATCCTTTCATAGTGTGAATTGAGCTTTTAGTTCACTTAGAGACATGAAATACTGCATTCTATATTTTACTTTTGATCACTGGTTTATAATAATATTTTAATATATTTCATTGCATTTAATGATAAACTTTAAATTCCCTTGATTATTTTTAAAAGTTTTTTTGTATGTAATGTCCAAACCATCCACTATAATGCTGAAAAATCTGAATAGATAATGAACATCTGTACTCCTGAAAACAGATATCATTCATGTGTTTTGACAAAATTATTTAATGCTTGTCCAAATTTCATTATTGCTCATCTTTAACTGATTATTCACTGTTCAGAAAGCATCAGACAAATATATGCAATAATTGTAATATGGAAAGGTGTAACATTCTGACCTGAAATATATACTTAAAAACTCATACATGATGCACAAGTA